CCAGGGGTGTCTGGTGGCCTGTGTACATCTGTGTGTGTGGATATGTGTGCCCCTGTGTGTGTCTCTGTAAGTATGTCCATGCATGTGTTCCTATATGAGTGCCTCTGTGTGCCCCTGCGTTGTATGCCCTGGTGTGGGTCCCTCTGCAGGTATCCTTAAGTGTGTGTATGTCCCCCGTCTGTCCTGGGGTGCATAAGTTCCCTCTGTGTGTGTGTGTGCGCACGCGCGTGGGCTTGGGGGAGACACAGGAGAGGAGGTGGCCAGGACCTGGCAAACAAAGAGCCCACTGTGGGGAATGTAGCGACAGCAAGAGCCCTGTGGGGGTCTCCATGAGGTCACGTTGATACCCCAGGCTGTCTAGACTAGCAGGCAGGGCAGGGGTTCCTCATTTCAGTGATGGTGACACCTGCGTGGCATCTCAGGTTGCCACCCACCCTCCCCATGCCGTCTTCCCATCTTCCTCTCTAGCTGTGGGGGGTCCTCAGACAAGGGGCTCGTCTGTCCTCCCACCCAGCCTCTGGGTGGCAGGTGGCAGGTGGAGCCTGACCTTCCTTCCCAGGCCTGCAGCATGTGGGGCCAGGGCTGGGGGAGGCGAGGAAGCTTCCACTTCTCTCACGTTAGGGTTGAGGGCTGTGGAGGGGCCGGGCTGATGGAAATTTAAACACTTCCACTGAGGCTCATGGTGCAGGGTGACCCTGGGTCTGGGGCAGGGTGGGCTCCATCTGCAAGAACGTGGGGTAGTGTTTCTTTATGGTCCTGTTAATGGGGGGCTTTGGGTCTGAGCTAATCTGCTGGGCTGCTTTGGGGATTCTGTGGGTGTCTGTAAATCCAGATGGGTGTGTGGTACAGTGGGTGGCTGTCTCTCTGCCAGTTGTGTGTGTGCATGTGTGTGCACGTCAGTGCTCCTGTAGGCTTCTGTTTGTGTGTGAATGTCAGCGTTACTGTGGGTGTGTGTCAGGCTAATTGTGTGTAATTGCAGGTCGATGTGTGAACCAGTGTATGTGGGTGGCTGGCGCCTGTTGGTGTCAATGGGGGTGACTGTAGTCTGTGTCATCTGATTATGGTGTCCCTGCCACCCCACTCCCCACTAAAATGTCAGCTCTGGGAGGGCGGGGACTTTGCTCTTGTTCTCAGCTGTATGCTCAGTGCTCCCTCCAACAGTGCCTGGTATGGAACAGATGCTCAGTAAACAACTGTTGGGTTTGTGGACGTCCAGATGACTGGAGATTTTTGTGTGTCCCTGTACAGTTTCCCTGTGGGTCTGTGTGCATGTGTTATTGTGCCTGTTTGTGTGTCTGTATTGTTCTAGGTGTCTAGGTGCATAAACAAGCATGGGGGGGGTGACTATGGGTGTATGGTCACTGGGGTGTTCATGTCTCTTTGTGGACGACAGTGTCATTGTGGGTGTCTAGAAGGGTCAGCTTTATTGTGGAGAACCGTGTGTCAGCATATGTGGCTTGTTCTGGGGGGGGTTGTATGTGTGTATGTCAAGATTATTGTGACCTGCTGTCAGATGTCAGCATCTCTGTGGATCTTGTATCATGTGTGTCAGGTTGACTGTGGGTGACTGTGCATGTGCGGGTGTATCCCTGCTTGGGAGGGCACATGGATGTCTATGTGTGCGTGTCTGAGATATTGTAGATAGTGGTGTCTGTGGGTACATGTGTTGGGGCCTTTATGGATCTGTGGTTGTCACAGTTACTCTGGATGACAGTCTGTGGGTGACCGTCCAACTGTGAGCATGTAAAGAACAGTGTGCATGTCGGCGTTATGTGCAAGGCTGTGTCTGTGTTTGTGGCCATCGTCAGTGGTGGCTGCATTTTTCCATGTGGCAGGACGTTTTGTAGGTGTCGGTCCTAGATGTCCAAGCCCTTGTGGGTGATGTGTGTGCACATGTGGCAGTGTTATTGTGGGTGACCGTATGTGTACGTGTGTCAGCATTACTTCGGTGATGTGAGTATTAATGGGAATGATGTATTCTGTGTATAGTGTGTGGCTTTTGGGGACTTCGTCAGGGACTTGGGAATATCTAATTACGGCTCTGTAAATGTGCTCCTGAGCAGTTCACGGGGTGGGTGGGAAGGGAGATGGTGGGGGGACCGAAGTGGGGGGGTTCCTTGCCCCTATCAACCAATGAGGCTCTCCTCCATCCTCCCACCCCCAGAATGCCCTCCAGGGCGAAGTCCCGGTGAAAGACGCCCTGTCGCTTTAAAAGGACTCCCCAGCAGTGGGATTGGGGCCATTTTTCCTCTTTACAGCCAGTTCTGGAGGGCTGGTTCCTGTTATCAAACCTTGGCCCCAGTAAACACCCTGCCGGTAATGACAGGCCGGCAGGCGGCGCGCGGAGGGCGCCCGGACTCCCGCAGGCGGCACCGCGGCCGCAGCCAGGCCCGAGCGGGGCCCCGGCCGGGATAGGTCTCCGTAGGGCCAGCGCAGGCCCGAGCGCCCGTGAACTTGGCTGGAGGAGCCTTCCCGAAA